GGTTCTAACTCTTTAGAATCTAATCTCTAGGGCAACATCGAAAATATTTTTGAGCATGTGTTAGTATCAGGTTTTAGTGAAGCAGCTACAACCACATCCACATCTCCACAATATGATATTGTGATCAACATATCCGACATTCAAGTTGGAGAAATATCCGCTTTAGAATCTGATTTTAAGGGTAACATCAAAGAGGTTGTTGATAATCTCCACACACATTAAAGACAACATGTTCAACCTTTTGTACGGCAACATCAAATGTTAGGTTCTCTAGGGAAAATATTCTTGAGCAAAAAGGTAATATTTTGTTTTTGGTTATATGTATGTTCTTAGTTATACTGGTAAATTATTTTTAACTATTTTCTATATTTATTGTAGTTTATAGAGAAATCCACCACATTCATTATGTAGTCTTGTTTAGAGACATTTGTGGATCGATTAGTTCATAAAATATCTTCGAAAGCAATGTCAATCTTGTGTTTCTTTGTATTATGATGAAGGAGAACTGAGAGGTGGATAAGAACCAGTTTCTTTTATCAATCATCTAAGTTTTCAAGGTATAAGCAAGGTTTATACACTCCAAATGATTATATTATCTTGATTACTAGAATATTATTTTCTATTGTCTATCTTGTTTCTCATGATTCAGTTATCCTCGTGGTGTTTGTGGTTCAAGTCAAAACGTAGTCGCTTGTTTTTGTTGATATGGATATAGATCAGATATTCTAGAGCAATAAGGTAATATTTTATTTTTGGTTATATGTATGTTCTTAGTTAATACTAGTAAATTAATTTTATATATATATATATATATATATATATATATATATATATATATATTTATCTATATTATAGTTTATAGAAAAATCCACAACAGTCATTATCAGTTCTTGTTTAGAGTCATCTGTGGATCGTTTAGACAGTAAAATATCTTCCAAAGCCATGCCGATCTTGAGTTTTATTGTTACGTTGATATACATATATAAACATTTAAAGAAAGCCACAAAACTTAAAGTTGTATTCCGATAGAGGAAAAGCGAGAGGTGGATAAGAAACAGTATCTTTTATCAATCTTCTCATCCTTCAGTTATCCTCATGGAGTTTCTGGTTCAAGTTAAAGCATGATCACTTATTTTTGCTGACGTGGATACAAAATTGATGGAATATCATACTCCTTGACCGTGACTAATTCAATACTTCTGTAGTAGAGAGAATAGTGTTGGCTCACTGATGGTTTGTATTAAAGAGACCAACATGCGAAATCACTTTTCCCCTATTGGTTTCAATTCTCTAAGGGACATTTGATGACCATGATGATGTGGTTAATGTTCGACATGTGCACCAGTTCAACTATCGTTTATACTAAAATCTTATTGGTTTTAAGTGTTACTTTAAAATTTTATGGTTATGTCCAAAGATGGGTTAAACGGGTTGGAAAACTATGACAAGTTTCTACTCAAGTTCTAGTCGGAGGCATGTGTTGGGGAGAAAACATGCTAGGGTTGGTTTGGGTAATTTGGGTTTTTTAAGTTAACATTTCATTCGTCAAACATATGTATATATATGTTATGATAATTTCTGGTTTTGGTTGTTGAATCAATATTAAATCATCAAGAAATATTTCCCGTTATAGTTTCATTTTACACATGAAATGGCTTATATCCCTTCCATTTGTTTTATTTTCTTCTTCTTTGTTTCATTTTCTTATTCTCTATTTAATCTCATTTGTTTCATCTTTTCTTTTCAATTATCCTCATGGTGTTTATGGTTCAAATTAAAGCACAGTCGCTTGTTTTTACTAATGTAGATGCAGAATTGATGGAATATTAAACTCCTTGACCATGCTTATGTAATACTTCTGCGGTAGATAGAATGGTGTTAGCTCACCACTTAACCCCAACTTGTTTCAGTTCTCTAAGGGATATTTGGTTTAATGTTACGGCCATTGAATTGAGGTTCATGCTCGACATATTGGGCACTAGTTCAACTGTCATTTATACCAAGATGAGAGATTTTTTACGTTTAACCACCTTCTATTGCTCCTCAGTTGCCTTGGTTTTCTTTTTTATTGGCTCTCATACCACTTGTTAAGCCCACAGAGTTTCAGTTCGACGAGACATGTAGTTTTAGATGATCCTTTACGCTTCTTGGTCGGTTTTGCGCCTAAGTAAGCCTTAAATCACGCATTGTGAGATTGTAAACTCTACAAAGCCTGGCACCAAGCCCTTTAAGGCTTCGATGGATGCAAAAGCTCTAACACCAACGGAACTATGGAAGCCACCAAAGTTAGACACTCGTGTGAAGTGTAAACACCACAGGGGCTAGTCTAGCCACCTAGAGAGGTAACTGGTACAAAGAAAACTTAAGAATAAAATAAAAGGAGAAAGAGAAATAGTGTAAATGCCTTAGAGGTTTATTTCTCTCTCAAATGAGAATAAAAGGAATGAAATATGAGATGATCCAAATGAGAGGGGAGGCTCTTTATTTATACTTAAGCTCCCTCTAAATCAATTTCTTGGATCTATTTACTTCAACGATATAGATGAATCCAAATCCCCTAATCTAAAAAAATCAAATAAATACTTATCGAATTACATCAATTAGCCTAATTATTTCCCTATAAAGAAGATATTAACGGATATGGAAAGATTCTCCCATAATTCTTTTTGATAATATGTCATTTTCCATACTTGTCAGGCCAACTCGAACAGGCTTTCTAGCATTCTCCAAGTGATGGGCCAAGTTTGGTAGTCTTGGCAAGCCCGTTACTCCGCATGAAACTTCTTTAATGAGCTTTTATGCCAATTTCCCAGACCCAAATGTACATATCATGACATTATCCCCCACCAGACATAGCAACGTCCCCGTCACTCCACTCGAATGATCTTGGTCTAGCTTAAATTGGATACTCTTCAATGCCTCGGTTCTTTGTGGTTCTCCCATTTGAATTGCTTGTCTTAGTTCATGTCACCATGTAACATCGAGGTCATTTGCTCCATTCCTCTCATCAACTTGATTGTTCTCTAACGCATCGATTTGCTCACATCCCCTATAAGGATTTGGCCTCCCATACAGGCTGCTCGCTTTGGCTCATGCTGCCAAGTGATGTCGCGCTCAATTGCATCATGCTCTATTGCGCCCTTGAGTACATCTCCCACATAGGTGCCTTCTCCTACTAGTGTTGATTTATCTCGACTTAGACCCCCTTGGTCCTACGATAAAGTCCTAAAAGTCTCCACAACATTGAACACTGGATGAACTCTCAGACTCTGCCGGTAACTCTAGCTTTAGAATTCTAAAAAGTTTCTCCCATACTTTATTTCCTCTGCACCGAATGTTAGGTCTTGGGAAAAGATATGTTGAAATGGTAAAAGAAAAGATGAAATAAAGGAGAGTAAACAAAGAATAAGAAAATGAAACAAATGGAAGGGATATCAATCATTTCATGTTTAAAATGAAACTACAACTAGAAATATTTGCTAATGATTGAATATTGATTAAACTTTAAAACCCAGATTACCCAAATAATCCCGAGCATATTTTCTTCTCAGCACATGCCTGACCATAATCCACCGACTCCATCATCAAAGATATATCAAAAGAAAAAAAATCTTCTTAGAAAGGATTGCAAAATACTGAAATAAACTCTATCCAAATAGACTATAGTCAATACAAACAACTCGATCTAAGATTTAATCATATATTCAAAATATTTACCAAGGACCCAGATTGTTTCAGTCCGAATAAGAAAAAGTTCAGCCTGAATGAAGAAAACTACAAGAAAGTTAAAAAGAACCAAAACTAAATCAGAAAAAAAAAAATCCACCTATCGATATCGGCATAACGTTCACTCTTCTTTTTCTTAATTTCAGAATCCTATAAAATTATCATAAAAACTATCCATGTAAGAATGAAACACCACATGATGACATATATATATATTAACAACTAGAAAAAAAAGAGTAAGTGGGTTTAAAGTTCTTGGATTACGAGATTTAGCAAAGAAGGAAATTTGAAGAAGCCAATAGAATTAACAATATTATAAGTTTTGGACATTGGCATCTTCTTTTCCCCCTTTTCTCGGCTTTTAGGAAGTAGAAGTTATCACACTTTCTAGTAAGCTTGAAACAAGCCGGGTAAAGATTCTTCTTTTTTTTTTTTTTGGTAAATCACGGAATTTGTCATTTCGTTTGAGTTTTATAAACTTTTCCACACCGAATTCAAAAATATATAAGATTTGATCACTTTCGTTTCATTTTAATTAAGATGTGATCACTAAGACGTTGGATGTCTTTAGTTTGATGATGTGGCGCTTTAGTAAAATAGTTGAATTTTTTTAACCCCTAAACCTAAAATAATTTAGGGGCAAATTATCAAGTTATCCATTTTCATATGTTTCCTCTTCACTAGCTTCGACAAAGCCCTACCTTTCCCTCACTTGCGTATCACACCATCCGGTGGATTTTCATATGCACGATGGTGGCCGGCGATTGGTTTAAGTACCCTCCCTTTACATCCATCAGGCCCAAACGACCTCAATGCTTCACAAATATTCAATGGGAAATGCACTCATTTATTGTATTCTTGCTACCACTGTTGCGATGATGACTATCACTTCCAAAATGACACATGTTGCAATCTTGGTGATCAATATTGTTGCTGCTTCCATTTTCATGATCCATTTTTCTTAAACTACCTCCTTTTAGATCTAAAAGCTCTAAAATTTCTTCCCTGTTTCTTTTAGATCTACTGTCAGATGTATAAAGTATTTTCAAACCTGTAACAAGATCTTTTCATCTTCCCTTTTAAAATTGAGATATCACCTCTTGATTACATAAACTAGACATCGGAATTAAATCTGCTAACTTTTTGAACTTGTTTTAGAACTGGCACTGTACTTTACAAGAAGTGGAACTGCATTGCCAGATTTATACACCAAAATCCTTGGACCCTGGGGCACCATATTTATAACATCAAATACAAACAGATGGGCCAAAAATTTGAGGAAAAAGCATACTCAATGAATGCCTCTTGGGAAATGAACAAAAACAACATTTATAAACTTGTAATACTAATCTAATTCTGGCTCCCAAAAGCCTTGGATTTACCTTTAAATAGCATATCCATGGATATACCTATCGAGGATGGTTTGAAACCGAGCATCGACTTTTGATACCGACCACTCTGGGAGTCTCTATTTGTTTTCCTTCTAGAAGGACCGCCAGCATGTGTGGATCTTTTGGCAGATCCGGATGATTTGGAGTTGAAAATTGATGAGCTGAAAGAGGTGTCTTTTGCACCGAAAGATACAGGCCCTTTGTTTGAGGCATCAACCGGATGTCCAACAGCACCATCTTGATGGGGAGGTGGGAATTTCTCACTCTTGCTCTTGGCATTTGTTTGTGTCATCACCCTCCATTTCTGGAAACCGAACACACAAGTTTTCTCATCAAATTCGAAATGACTAAAGCTCATATGAGAAGGGTACTTCAAAATTCAGCCTTCTATATCAATTATGTTACTTGAACTTTAGTGAGTGTCAAATACAGATATATGTTTGATGCAGATTAAAGTTTTTTTTTTCCCGTGTTTTTGGTGGTTCATATCCAGTATGTTTACTCCAATAAGAATTGAACATGAGTACATCAAGAACGGAAGCATACCAGAGCTATTAACTGATGACCATAGGTTTAGTGCTAGGCAACTAAGACTTGCAAAGTTATATGTCTAGTGACTAATGATGATGCGTACATATATGTTTGGCACATGAGAACATACCTCTAATATTCATAGCTTAACTTATTTATATGGCAATAAATATGCAGCACGGAAACTTTATCAAGTTGAACCTAACATTGTGCAATTTTCCAGTAGACGGTGTGGTTGTTTCAAGTTGGATTTAGAGTTCTTAAATGATCCAACCAAATTTTAAAGCGAAATAAAAAGAAAACAGTAAAACATTGGTATGCGATTGGATAAAGAGCAATGTCTCACACTCACATCTAGGTTGGCTTGAGTCTCTGCATTTGCTTCAGGAGCTGGAACTGCCCGAGTTGGACGCTTATGAACTTTAATTCTCCTGGTACCATCAACCGCATTGACTTTGGCTGCTAGGCTTCTTTGTCTGTACACCACAATTGTATATCAGCCATCATCATGAATCCAAATTGGGCAAAGAAACGGAAAGGTGAAAAGGAAAGCTAGCCAACCTTGCTTCTGCATCTCTCAATTTTGCATCAATTTCTTTACAGGGAGGATATTTTGGTAAAGTTGATGGCTCACAAGCGAACGGTTCAGTCTTAAAGAACTGCAAACCCAATACCAAATGTGACGAACCAGTTTAGAGATAAATGCAGCAAGCCCATGGTGATAATAGAAAAATCAAGTATTCCACAGTGGATATATGATCATGCAAAAGATATGCATCATGCAAGTCCCCAGGAAGCATATTTCTTAGTCCGGCTATGTAGCAAAGTAAATCCATAAAAGTTATCTTCCAATATCATAAATAAAGATTACAGGTACCAATGCAAAATATTGATTTGCTAGAGAGATGCATAGTACTCACTTCACCATTAAGAGCTGCAGTGGCAGTACTCCGCTCTTCAGGGTCTATTGAAAGAAGAGTTTCAATTAAAGATAAAGAAGATGGAAAATCCTTGAAAGTTTCTGCTATACAGCATTTGTATGGGTGCTGCGGCTTAAAGAGTGTTGCATTTGCCAATTTGGATTTCTTCCAATATTCCTCAGAAGGGGATCCACATAACTTGAATATCTTGCGCAGTTGTTCAACCTATTAACAGATAGGAAATATTACACAACATAACTAAACCAACTAGAAGCAACACTGGTTATGAAATAGAGACCCAATAGAATTTTTAGGCATCATAATCATGGAATGCATTCATCTGAGTCGACGCCGGGTTCCCCCAAACAAAAACAGCATGCAACAAACAACAAGACAAAATATTGGAGAATAGAATTCATACCTCTGTCCTTCCTGGCATTATAGGCTTCCCTGAAAGTAACTCTGCTAGAATGCAGCCAGCACTCCACAAGTCAACACCAACTCCGTAATAGGTTGCTCCAATAAGTAGTTCGGGTGGACGGTACCAGAGAGTGACTACACGACTAGTCAGGGGCTTCTTCTGGCCAGGGTCATAAGTGGTAGCCAGTCCAAAATCTGCAATTTTTAAAATGCCTTCATTGTCTATAAGAAGATTAGAACCCTTGATATCACGATGCAAAACACCATTTTTGTGGCAATGCTCTAGCCCCGAAAGCAACTGTTTCATATAGCATTTGACCTGCCAGAGGTAAGATGCATTCAAACAAACGGATCATCTAAATTCACATCTTCAGCCACGAAGACCTCTTTAAGAAACACTAACAATTATAAGTGCATCGTGCCACTAGCCATAACTGGCCTTGCACTAGAATTCCCATCTTCCATCTGCAAGATGCTAATTAAGCTAGATTTTATCTTGAAGTTAAGCTTTTGATTTGAGATTATCATTCCAAGGCTGAACAATATCCAATTACCCTTAGAATACCTTCATATACTATGTCACATGAATATAAAGAAATTTCTCCAGACTTTTCTACATCATGCAACAAATAACTAACTTCACCATTAATCAACCTTCTTAAAGCAAACAACCAATCCACACAGGCTTATATGCTTCTAAATTTCTATAAATAGAAATATTTATTTCCAAGGAATTTGGCTTCAAAAAGGTGGCAAATCCCCATGAGGGAACATTAGACACAATTACAGTCTCGTGTGATTTGATCACTATACCCAGCTCAACAGGAATAGTCTTCACTTAGACCGTTAAACAGATGGGCAATGGAACCGGTGGTTTGCACCCAAATAACACCTAGATATTCATCCATATAATCAAATGATAAACAAATATCATTTCATCTTTGCAGCCAAAGGAGGATGATATAAGCAAACCAGTAGAATCATATGTTTATAACTTTATTCCTTAGCCACCTTGTTCTGTTCCCGGAAGTTAACCAGAAGATAGATAGACCTACAGTCCTATGCTAATCAACAATTCTACAAAAATAAATAAATACATAAATAATGAGCCTAGATTTAACTTTTCTTCAACTCATATAAAAAGTTGCCCATTTTCTTTTCTTGACATAGTTCATTCCATCTAGAAACTTGTCCAAATAAAGATACGACAACATGAACTTCAACACCAGAAATTGATATGAAGCAAGAAATTTCCATGAATTTGCATACCCAAAAATAGTACAAAAACAAAGATACAAAATAAACTCAAAAGACTCAAAATTTGGATTAAAAACCAGTAGGTACGGGACACAACTAGCTGAAGAAATACATAAGAGTAACATCAAATGCCCACAACAACAAAAACAAAAAGAAGTGCAAGAATCATATATTCCCAAAACCTCAGTTAGGAAAGCAAGAAAAACAAAAGAGAGAGAAGTGAACCCAAACCGCCCAAAAAACAAAAAGTTCAAACCCTACAAAATAACACATCCAACAAAAATCAATATTAGCAGTAAAAAGAAGAAACTAAGAATAAAATTGAAGAAAGAACCGTCACCTGAGGCTCAGTGAAGTTGATTTCTTGGCAGGCAGCTAGGCCAGCGAGATCATGCTCCATGTATTCAAAAACCAAGTAAAGACTACAAGACATTCTTGAAGTAACTAAACCTTCAAGCTTGATCACATTGGGATGGTCAAGCTTTCTTAAAACAAGAATCTCCCTAGCCATGAACTCTACACTCTCTGGCTCCAAATTGTCAAACCTAACCTTCTTCAATGCCACTATTTTGCCTGTTAGTAGATCCCTCGCTTTGTACACATTGCTATAAGTCCCTTGCCCAATCTTTAAACCCAAAAAAAAACCCAAATTGTTAAAACGAAAAACATTCATAAAAAAAGGTAAAGATTTTTGACTAATTTGATGATACCTTGTCCAGCTTCTGGAAGGTGTTGGCACGTCTCGGAGTCAAATCACTGATGGCTTCACCGGCGACGGCCATCAACCACGAAGGCCACCCGTTCGTGTCCGTTTCCGGTATCATCCGACGTTTATCCGGCGACGGAACCATAACCTGGAAATCACCGGTATGTCCAGCTTTGCGCTGCTGTTGCCTTTCTCCCCTCTTCTCTTTGACAGCCACGACCCCGTCAACGGAATCGTTGACTGACACAACCAATGATGACTCGTCAGAGCTCCGTCGGCGACGTAAATTACGTGGTGGTGCTTGAGTGTTTCTACTATGCCGGATATCCGACGAAGACGACTGTGATTGCTTACCGAGGACGCAACCCATTCACTCAAAACAAATGCATGGAGGATAATGTACTCCGATAAAAGGAAACCCACTAGCTGTTTTTCAGCTGAACAAAAGGCCCCCCACAGTTAAAAGCCACCGTTTCGAGAAATGATGAAAAATAACAGCTGTTCTCGACTGAACTTTCAGGTGAGTTTTAGAGGTGGGGGAAAGTGGAGAAGAAAGAGAAGACTGGCTGAAGACGGCAAAGGGTAAGCGAAGCTTAGCTTAACCTGAGAGATGGTGAGGCGACAGGCTAGTTTGAAATGAGTTACGACTTTAAATTAATTTACAAGATAAATAATAGTGGATTCTGAAATAGGGTGTTGACATTAGCAATAACTACGGAATTGCCAGGGGAAGCAAAAAGGATGACGTCACATGTTTTAAATGTCAAAATAAGCTCCAGAGAAAAAAAAAATTGAAGGCAAAAAGTGAAGAAATAAAGCCCTTTTTGTTTTGGGTTCAAATTGTGAATGATTACATTAAGAAAAAGAGTATGAAAAGTTGTTGATTTTTTTCTTATTTGAATAATGAGTTTTATTAATTTTATAATGAATTTTATGTTTTAGTATTTTAATTATATAATCTGTTGGTAAAATGGATTTTGCCTTTTCATGTTGAATTATTTTATTATTCTTTTTCACAACAACAATAATAATAATAACAATTTTTCATATATTTTTAAATGATATTTACAAATAAAAAATATGACAGCTTTTAACTTTTTTAATTAAAAGAAAATCTTGATCATTATATCCGATACGCTTAATACAATTTTAGGTGTCTAAACCGGTGGCGGATCTATAAATTTAAGAATAAGGATCGAAAATTTTAATATTCATTTCTTAAAAATTATGGGTATGCAAATTTTCCCCCTTTTTCCCTTAACATATTAAACTAAATTTCACATTTTTTTCTTAAATAATAGGGATGTATTTGACCCCCTAGGGGTCTTAGTGCATCCGTTTCTAGCCTAAACTATATCTCAAATTGACTTTTGGTGTTTAAAGATTTTTTGTTAAAATTGTGTCTAATGTTTTATCCTTTACACTTTTAGGTGGCTACGCTAAAAAATGATTAAATGACATGTGTCACATTTATATTTATATTTTAAAAAAATAATATATTATTTAAAAATATTTTTTTAAATCTAGATGTGACACGTGTCACTTAACTGTAGGACCTAAACGTGTAATCGGAAAAAACTTAGGCACATATTTTTAACGAAAAATTCTTTAGACACCAAAAATTAATTTGAGATATAATTTAGACACCTAAAAGTGTATTAAGTCGATCGATAATGATCACTTTTACAATTCTAAGGTGATAAGGTATTTTCTAAAATCATTCTGAGGTCAGGTTACTATAAATTAAAGGTTGAAGGAGTTTATATTCTTAAGAAAATATTTAGAACGAGATATAGTCATTATGAGTTCCTTGTCATGCATTTTAGTTTGACTTTTATTTATGAATTTGATTAATTAGGTGTTTCACCTTTATTTGGACCAATTTGAGGTTATATTCATCGATGAAATCTTGTTGTATTCTAATTTGGAGAAATATCATGTGCATCCTCGTATTGTCATCCAGATTTTGAGAGAAGAAATTGTATGTTAAGTAGAAAATAAACACAAGTTTTGGTTAAATGAATTGATCTTTCTAAGGCTATTATTTTAGTTGAAGGTATTTGAGTCAATCCAAATAAAATAGAGACTATATTAAATTGGAAGGTTCCAAAAAAATGTGAAAAAAGTTCTTAATTTCCTTAGATTAATTAGTTATTATCGCATACTCATCGAGAGGTTTTTAATCATTACTGCACATTTGATGAAGTTATTGCAAAAATATTACTTTTGTTTGGTCCGAGGAAAAGTAAAAGAGTGTATATAATCTCAAGGATGATTTGATGAGAACTCTGATGTTGATTCAGCCTGAATTCGATAATAATTTTGTGGTCTATAATGGTGTGTCATACACAAGTCTTGGTTTTGTATTAATGTGTGATGATAAGGTGGTATTTGTATGGTTAGAGGTGTATTACTGACACTGATCACAAGATTTTGAAGCATCTCTTTACTCAAAATGAGCTTCACTCATGGTAAAGAATATAGTTTGAGTTGCTAAAAGATTATGATTGTTTTATTCAGTACTGCCCGAAAAATCTAATGTGGTTGTAGATATATTAAGTAGAAATATTGTTGTTAAGTTACAAACATTGTTTGTTAGATTATGTGTATCATGTGATAGTGGTTTGATTGTGAAATTACAAGTTACACCAACCTTATCGTATCAATTAAAGATATATACAAGTGTATGATCATTTCTCAAGTAAGAAATTTCAGCATATTAATGATAACATTTATGGTAATTTTGATCTTAATTTTAATTTTATTTTATTTTTTCATAATATTTTTGTGAGTATGATAATTTTGATTTACAATATGTTATTCTTAGCAAGGAAATAATAATTGTTTTGTTATGTATCTCAGTAGTGTTAAGAAGTACCGAGATCTTTGTGAGTCATATTGATGGTCAAGTATAAAAAATAATATTATTGAGATTGTTTCTAGATGTTTAGTGTATTAAAAGGTGAAAGCTGAGTATTAAGTTTTGTCGGGTTTTGTTACAACTGATTAGGATTTCAGAGAAATGAGAACGAGTTATGATGAATTTTTTTATACTTGTCATTGTCTTCTGATGCTACGAATATTGTATCAGTAATGAACATAAGTGCACATAACGTATTCAACTAGTTAGTGAACACAACAAGTGTGTCGGATGTCAAATCTACATAGAACAAATGATTACAATATAGAATTAATTATAACAAATATTTTAAAAAAAATGTGAAAAATATTGTGGTAACAAATCTATGAAAAAGATACTAAATTAGATTAAAGAAAACAAGGATTGCAACAATCATCAATGGAGCATGCTATTGGTACCAAGAATCACGAAGTGTTAAACAACACATGCAAGTCAATAATATTTAGATTCCAATGAATTCTACAACATCGATGACCACAATAGGCCAAATTCGAGAGCATGTTGTGCCAACCTTAGATGATTTGAACATAGTATTGTGCGACCTGCAATCCATGATGCCCACTTTGATATGAAGCTTATGATGTTCTAGATGTTACAATCGATGAGGGTAGTATATTGGGTCATTTATCGAGGATCTTAGAGCACAACTAAGAGCATTTATAAAAGTGTGTGATTTTTTATACAGCAAGGAGTGCTAGAGGAAGCCCTGAAACTGAAATTGTTTCCTTACTCTCTTTGTGACAAAGCCAAGTATTCACTACACCTGATGCTGTAACATCGTGGAATGAACTTGCTCAAAAGCTTTTGCTATATTTCAACCCTCCCAACATGAATGTTAAATTGAGGAATAACCTTTCATCATTCAAACAAATAGGGGATTAGAACTTTTATGAATCTTAGGAGCATTTCAAGGATTTGTTGCGTAAATACTCGATGCATGGTTTCTAACATTTGACATAAATGGAGATTTTTATGATAGACTTAATATGCAAACGAGGATAGTTGTAGATATTTCTACCAATTGAGTATTGTTTGATAAGACATACAACAAAGCCTATGACATCTTGGAGAAAATATCCAACAATGATAACCAATATTCCAATACAAGGATTATGTCAGGTAGACGCAATACTGCGATAGTGGCCAACGATGCTATCAACACAATAACCGCATAAGTTATAGCATTGACTGGAATGATAAAAAAATATACAAAATCCTTAAGGTATGTGTGAGGTAAAAGCTACTTCTATATATTCTTTTGTTTATTGTGGTGAAAACCATAATTTTGAAGAATGTCCAAAAAACCCGAATCTGTGTATTTTGTAAGGAATTATAATAAGAATGACAATGTCAATGCTTATGGGAACAACTATAATCCAAATATCCGAAATTATCCCAACTTGTCATGGAGAAGTCAGAATGTAGTCAATCCTAATATGGCATTGCAATCAAACTTTGAGAGCACGCAACAACACTATTAGACACAACAATAATATATATAGTAACATATAATACCGTAGTATTAGTCATATTAAAAGGTAGTATAGTTACAACAATGTCACAACCTATAAAATTATCAAAGATGGTCTTCTAATCAAGCTTCCACATCGACAACACTTGAGTCTCTGATGAAGGAGTACATTTCAAGAAATGAAGTTGTGATCCAAAGCCAGTCATCATCATTGAGAGCCTTGAAGAATCAAATAGGGAAGTTGACTAATGCTTTGAGCAATTTAACACATGGAGCATTGCCTAATGACATTGAAGTTCCTAAAGCATATGGAAAAGCCCAATGCAATGAGTATTGTAAAACCATCGCAACACATAGTGGACTCCACCTTGGAAACCCAAATAAAGAAAACAAGAAGAAAGATGAGGAGAGGTTTATGCAGCAAGTTAAAGGAAAAGAGTTAGAGGTGGATATTAGGACACACATAGTAGATGTCATAACAAAGGATGCAAGATAGTGTAGTGATTCTGGGACATTACTAGCAATAATGCCCATAACACTACCACTAGTGGTGCCACCACCAAATTCCAAATCAGTAGAATCTAAGACTTTCACAACCATTTCCTCAACGATTTAAGAAGAACAATGAGGACCAATAGTTTAAAACATTTATTGATGTGATAAAGCAATTGACAATCAAAATTCCATTGATTGATGCTTTAGAGCAAAACCTAAATTACATTAAGTTCATGAAAGAACTGCTTTCGAAAAAGACTTGGCGAATTTGAGACCATTGCACTTACTGAAGGATGCAGTGTTATGGCTACAAGTTGTTCGCCACCTTAACTCAAAGATCTAAGGAGTTTTAGTATTCCTTGCATTATTGGTGATCAATTTGTAGGTAGAGCATTATGTGATTTAGGTGCTAGTATTAATCTTATGCCTTTGTCCAATATTAATCTTATGCCTTTGTCCATTTTTAGGAAATTTGGAAGTGGAGAAGCAAGACCTACCACTGTGACACTTCAACTTACCGATCGCTCTATTGTACATCCTAATGACATAGTTGATAACATGCTAGTTCGAGTGGACAAGTTCATTTTCCCATTGATTTTATTATATTGGATTGTGAAGCAGACAATGATGTCCCAATTATACTTGATCGTCCGTTCATTGCTACAAATCGAGCTTTGATCGATGTTGAGAATGATAGACTTTTAATATTTTGAATAAAGTTCCATATGAAGATGACAATGCTGAGTGTCATGCTATTAACGTTATTGATATTTTTGTATGAGAACAATGATAGGGATGGGCACAAGGTTGGGCGGGCCTCTTTTTTGGCAACCCTACACCGACTTAAAAATATAAATCTTATACTCGACCCCACCCCGCCTCGATGAATTTTAGGTTTTTCCCGCCCTAAATCCGCCCCGATTTTTAGAGTAAAACTCTATCCCCGAATAACCTGACCCGATACAAATATATTAATATTTTAAAATAAAAAAATAGTATATTTTATAATAATTTATTTATAATAATTTATTATATTTTAAATGGTCAAAATAATATATTTTATAATAAAATTTATATTTTTAATAATTAAATAATATATTTTAATAATATAAAATAAAAATTCCAAAAATATTAAAATATAATATATGTATATATAATATAAATTAACTAGGTCTAATCGGGTTAGGTCAGTATTTTTCACCTTAAACCTGACCCCGCCCCTACTTGAAATTATACACTATATAACCTGTATCGCCCTGCCCTATAACCCCCTAGACCCGACCTAGATGTTAGGACCGAATCTAACGGTCACATGTCGTATACATAAATCTTTTCCATATTCAAAACATAGAAAAAATCCATTTCAGTAAATAAAATATGTATAAGGGTAAATGACGAAAATATTCAACAGTAATGCATACGGTGATATATATGCTGAAATAAAAAAAACTATATAAAAATAGATTCATAATAGAATAATAGTAATACATATACATACATATAATAGTAAAAACACGTGTCACCAAAATATGACAGAAATGAGCATAAATAAATATATAATGGTACAAAACAGAGAATAGTCAATCTTCATAATGTCAACTCTGTCAGCTTACTGTTTGGTACTATCTGAAAAGTTAAAAATTAATGAGTGAACTAAAAAGCCTAATGTGCTCCTTGCGGAGTATGAAAACATTCATATAAATACTTCGATTAAAATTTATTTAAAAAATGAACACTACTCATCGAACACCAGAATGTATAGGTTCCCCTAAACTATACACCCACATATACACCCAGTAAATACCTTATACTGATAGCATAAGGACCTGCGGTAAGTACTTACCCTGTGCACAAAGTCGAAGAGCCTACGGTAAGGTATGTGCACAAAGCAGAGGAGCCTGTTGTAAGATCTTACAAGTCATAGACTAGACCTGAGATACTCCCTCCAATAATATGTCCAATGATAGTAAATATGCATGTGTTTAAGTGAAAATGCTAGTTTAATTCTTTAAAATGTGAAAACATTCCATGTTCCAAAATCAGATACAGAAATACAATAACCATAAATTATGTCAGAAGTATACGATAAATCAGATATCAGAAGTCAATATATGCGGTATATCAGATGTCATGTAGTCAAAATATTTAATAATATCAAAATTCTAAAACATTTTAGATAGATAGTTCAAAACAATAATGTAACACCATCAAGAACACATCTGAATTGGTCTTAGTAGTTGGATACGGTAGCCTACTGCTGAGTCTGCCTATCGCAATCAGTAACAGTGCTAGATTTACAAATCCAAAGAACTGTATCAAAATCCTAATATAATAATTAATAAACTATGTTTAAATAATTTATGAAAACCTACGAGTAGCTCTCAAAGAACATGGACTGTAAAGATCAATTGAATGGGAAACATCAAAAACCTCGATTAGGGAAAACATGAGTACCTTCATAAAAGTATAATCCCAAATCAATATTATATTCAATACGCAAGTGATCAAGTAAAAATGCTAAAAATACTAAGTATTTTTGGATTAATGGGCTCATTTCAAGGTTTTCAAGTCAGAATTTGGAAAATAAACCACAAAATCGAACTCATTATATCAAAAAATGTCAAAATGGACATTTTCAAAAAAATTCAACGACGATTAATGGTCAAAGTCAATGATTAAAGCTCAATAGTTCAATTAATGGTCAACTGGTTCGATTCGATTCGAATGGGATCACTGGATTAGTTCGTTAGAATATATTAACAGGTCAGGTTGGGTCATGTTAGTAGGTCGGGTTGACCCGCTTCTAGAAGCCCACCATGTGGTGGAAAAGTCTCGCGCGTAGACATGACACGTGTGGGGGTTCTGGTGGCTGAAACAATTACTAAAAAATCTAAAAAAAATATTTCAAGCGTTTTGAGGCATTTACCAAGCTCGGTTCACAACGTTGAAATGCGGAGAGTTCGATATCAACTCGTCTAAAACTTATTATTGATCACCCCTCCACACAATGGTGACAACGACTATAAAATAGACACCGATAGACTCCAGCAATACAAGAGATGTCGAAAAGATCGACGGTAAAATGTCGTTTAAAGTTTTATCGAGAAAAGTTTCAATAAAAAGAAAAGTTTGAGAGATAAGGATTTCAGGTTTTCAAAAATGGAAACTTCCAGATTTTGGGGTTTTAAACCCATCCAAAAAGGAAAATGACAAAATCATGCCATATGTCGTCCAACTTTTGTTGTTTTCTGAATTTCATCTTAATTTGAATAAAAATTTAGTTTTTTCCCAAACCAAAATCAGTCCCCAAACCTTACCAACAAAATTTGAAATTCATACGCATTGAAAGAAATTATAAAAGAAACAAAATGGGAATTTTGTTTTACCTGAAAACATACCAAGGAAAAGAGACATAAGATGAGCAAACTAGACAGGTATTAAAATGAAATGAAAAGTAAATGTTACTTATGATTTTGATAAAAATAAATAAAATAAAAGTTTAGGTACTAACACATAAGAAAAATGATAATTTCAGTATAAAATGTGTAACTTAACTTATTTATTAAAAATACACTCATATGACACTATTAAAATGTGATACAATCTTATGTTATTACATTAAAAAATTAACACCATTAATAAAAATACCACGGTGATAAATAAAATTAAAGCTTGGATACCAATTTGAGAGTAATTTTTTTAAAATACCAATGTAGAAAATGATGTTGAATTTAGATATCAAATATATATTTAAGTCTTTTTAAATTATAAAATGAAGTGTATTTTATACTAAATTTCAGAAGAAGAAAATGTCTTTCACCTTAATCTAATGGTAATCATTACCTTTGGATAAAGTGGTCCATTTCAAAGAGGCAAACACTCTAATTATTAGTTTTTGACTAAATTTAAGTTTGGGTGATTGGTAGACCTGGTAAACTTACCCGAAACCAATTATCTAAACCGATTTACCCAACTCAA